TCCAGACCCGAAACGTCAGCTTTCCTGCTCCTCTGATGCTGCTTGGCCTGCTGTGTTCATCCAGCTCTACACCTTGTTATCTCCTACACTATGGAGACTTCTTCCCAGCTTCCCCTAATGGAAGCAACTGTGACAGATCGGACTCTAGATTCTAGCTGAATAAATCACAGTGTAATGGATAACATTAAAGAGGATTACTGTCAATGGAATCTAGGTCATTCTCTCAGGCCATTCCTTTGAATACTATACACATGTTTTATTTTTAATCAATAATTAACACCATTTTAATCTCACAAGAAGAGGTTTTAAAATAATCAGACCATCATTACTACTAACCAAAGAGGTAGTTCCTTCATTGTCAACAATCCAGTCTTCTTTTTCTGCAAGCCTCTTTACATCTACACATATTATGAAAATAAAGGTTTGTTTAAGTTTGAAAGATAAATGTCTATTTGAGATCTAGATTAATCTGTACTGCAATTTCACAAATTATAGCTTTCAATGTAACTGGCGCAACAAAGTTTTACATTTCCTTAGCAAAACATACCATCTTTAAGGTAAATATCTAGAGAAGGTAAATAAATGTAAAATCACCATAGTCCTACTGGACCATAGGGCTGCTCTCTCATTAGGAAGAGACAACTGCTGCCGACTTAATCAGTGGCTCACTTTGCTTCAGACAAGGGGAGAGATTCAGAAGGAGACTCCTTCATGGTAACCTCAGCCAGTATGGGAATTGAACTCACACTATTGGCATCACTCTGCATCACAAACCAGCCATCCAACCTATTTTCAAATCTTGTATAAACAATACCATTGTAATAAGATCAAAACTGCATATACACCAACTTTAGAGAAAACATTTCCATTTCATCTTATTCTACAAGTGAGACAACTGTAACTATTTTATTTCCTGTCAAAAACTTTTTGATTATATTACTATGAAGGTGTTTCCATTATTAACATTCTTGGAGCATTCATGTTTAAAGCATTGTGAAGTTACTTCATTTGATGTACTGAGAAGATACAGAGACTTAGTTTTTTCTAAAAAGGCCACAGACAGGACACTGCAGATCACTTCAATTAAAAAAAAACTTCACTTGTAATCAAGTGAGGTAAGCTAACTGCTTGAATCTATTTACTGGAAGTCACGTGGCTGAATTTATGGATGTCAGTTGTGTGGATATTTGATATTTTTTATGGAGATCAGTTAGGGTATAGCCTGAGAAGAGACAGGAACACCAGATCAGCCTTGGCACCTTTATGAGAAACCCTCCTGAAGATCTCGTGTCAGAGCTGAAAAACCAAAACAGATAATCTTCCTGAAAGGCTTCCAGAATACTTCCTCATTGTATCTCCAGAGCAAACTATGTTGAAGAGATAATAGGTCTAAATTAAACTCCATCTGCCACTCCTTCACCCACTGGCCCAATGGATCAAGATCCCTTTGTAATCTTCGACAACTTTCCTCACTGTCTCCTATACCAAATTTGGTGTCATCCACAGCAGGGGTCATAAAGGGCTCAAAACATTAACTCTTGTTTCTCGAACTACAGATCTGCTGAGGTTCTCCAGTCTTTCCATTTCCCGCCTGTGTACCACATTCTGATGTGTATACCAGGTCTGAGCCACACCAGGAGTTGGATCCAATTGTGAAAGGCAGTTCTGGATGGCAGTTCCTATCCAGAAGTTACCTCGAGGGGAAAGTAACAAGCCAGCCCGCCTTTGTGGCTCAGATTAATTTTCAACAAATTCCTGGAGAATGATGTAGTGTCCATCTAAGACACAAAGCAATGTACACTTTTGGGAGACTTTTGGTCATGTTAGAAGTTAAATGAAGAATCTCTTTTCTGCATTAAAATAGAAGTTATCTACAAAAAGAAAATAGTGTGTTTAGTCATTTGTTACCGTAAAAATTTTAAAACAAGATTTTGGGAGGTCATTCTTTCAGCTATTAATTGGAATTTCATTTTAAATGCTATCGTTCCTGTGGAGATTGTAATGGTACGATTAACTAAAATGGCAAACAGGAATTCAGATAGTACTTTAAAAGCCTCAACAATAAGGCTTCCATGATTCAATATATGTCATGGTGAACTATGTGAATAATACTTCTGTACCTGTTGTTTTTTGAAAAAATTTAAATGTTCAAATAAAGAAAACCACAGATATGTAGGCAAATGCTTCTGGTAGCTAATGTTCATCCTTTAACGCAAATGGCCAAAATGGGTTAGGTTAATTACAAAAAAAAAAAAACTGTCCCAAAATAGTTTCAAACATTAGGCAGTAAAACGTCACAAATAGACCACGTTTGCAATTTTAATTTCTGGTAGTAAAGCATATTTACCAAACACGTTATTTGCAAATACACCTATTGACTGAAACCAATCAATATGCTGTATTATTCTTTAAACATATAACCAAAGAATTAATTAGATTATTCATGTGGTTTGCATCCAGAGCTTTGAATGTGATTCTTCTGTTTCAATTTGCATTAACTTATATATTTAGCATTGAAGTATTTAAAATTTTCTACTCTACACCTTTCACTTCTTTCCTACCACACTCGGCCCTTGGATTGCCTAGCAGGCGCTGCCAAATCCAGTACCATAATTTGCTGCAAATATGTTGAAATCCATGTTGTAGAAGAATTGCTGGTACAATGCTCGCAAAATTACAGCAGCGGATGGGAGCCAAAGAGAAAATTCCAGTGTTTACAGAGGCTGAGTTTGCTCAGAATTTGCCCTTACAATAGCCTGACACAGGTCAGGATTTGCTCAAGGTCAGGAGTAGGAATAAGAACGGGATGGGAGAAATTAAAGGGTATGCCCTTTATTCTTACCATCGGCTGTCTGCTGCAATGTAATGATCAAACAATGCACTCGTAAATCTAAAATTAGCTCCTGGATTGCTTGCAGGAGATCATTTGGTATTTCCAGTGCTGTCAAAGACTCATAGTTAATTCTGTAATTCAACCAAAAATAAATAAGTTAGGAATAGAACAAGATCTTCAATTCAACAATAAACTGACAGCAAAATTATGAAGGCACGTTCAGTACAATTTTCAATATAGCTAAACTAAGGTACAAAATAATATTGTCAACCTCCAAGGAATCCAGAATGAATCACGGAAAGTGGAACCCACAGATTTTAAAATAAGTGAGGGCCATAAACAATATTGGGAAGACAGTCAAATATGATTGCAAAAAAATCTCACTCATTCAACAGAAGGGTGTATCGTTTACTAATGCCAAAGGAAAAATTACAAATGCTTGTGTGATTACACTCTAGTACAATGGAATGGAAAGTTTGCACTTGAAAACTCAAACGAGCATCTTCATCTGCGCAGTTAAGCATAGGTAATTGGTAACAAATTGAAAATAATGGTCAGTTATTGTTTCAGCATGATTCAGTTCCTGATTATCCAAAGCTGCCATTTTAATACGATCAGTGCCACAAGGAAAACAGATACACTTTTAAAAAAACAGAAGACTGGAGTTGATTTCATTTGATGCTAATTTTACACAGTAAATAAACATACTTGATAAATGGTCAATTAAATATTTGGTTGTTTTAACTAATAGACATTTTTCAAAACAGTATGATAGTTCAAAGTAGGCACACACATTTCACTTATAACAACTAGCGTTTCTAGTTTTCACACATTAAAAAAAATTAAAATTTGAAGTGGAAACTATTGCCTTCCTCACAAGATAGTTTGTAGTGTACAAGATCCTCAAATAATATTAAAGATTTTCCCTGATTAAATAAACTCCATACAAAATCTCTGGATTGTGTTATACATAAATTAATGGCTATTAAATTAATAAACTAAATGGAAGAAAGAAAGAGGCAATCAGAAACTATTTCTTTTCAAAAAAAATGAAAATTTAATTGACAAGAGTTTCCATGATGATGAAACTGTTATGCTCCTAATATTTCTTTTTTTTTTTAAATGATGTCAGAGCACTAGTGAGTAAGTGAATTCTTTCAGAAATATACATGCTCAATCTGCCATGCCACTATCTGTTAATCTCAGCTTCATGCCATTATGTGCAATGTCCTAGCACTGTCAATACAAAGCCCTGCACACATTTCTCAGCAGCTGAGTTGAGCATGCCTCCTGGAGACCCAGGAACAGACTACCTGCTGACAATTAGATACAGGTATTGACTCGATAGAGATCAGAGGGACCGGTGAGAAAATAAAGGGAACCACACTCGCACAAAAATCAGCTTTCGACTGGATAATTTGAAACTGGACAGTTGTAGTTCTGTGCTGTGAAACTTTCGACATGATCTTTCAAGCCACAGCCACAACAGATTCAGAAAGTTAACTGAATAGTGCAGTACTTTAGAAACTTAACATGCAGTATAGAATAGGAATGTCATGGCTACACATAAACAAATACCTTTGCTTCTTCAATAACGTAGAGTTTGTCAAAATTTAAGTTTTCAGATGCTCATGTTTCAAATTGGAGCAACGTACATGCATAATTTCACCATCAGATAGCAACATCACTTAAAGCCATTGCTTACCTCATAGTATGAATAATGTGGGTTAACCACTGGCCTGAAAGTTCCATTTTTGATTCCCATCCTCCATGTTGCCTGAGCTCAATGTCAGATAGGCTGGATGGAAGAAGAGCTCCTCGAATAAGTTTCACAAGTGAATTTATGATCTCTTGAATCATTTTCTACCAAAACAAAATTCAAAGTATCACTTCTGCTAGTACACAAGGGTTTTTCCTCTCTTGTTTTAACAAAATGAAACAGTTTACTGTCAGAAAATGAATAAAACAATAAAACAAATCAAATGTAACTTTTTTGTACCTTGAAGTCATTTTGTCGTGATCTTGCATTTTTCTTAAATTTCTCAACTGAACCTGATTTTTCACCTGTCTTTAATCACAAAATAAAGATTAAGCACAGGCCATAGTGCTAAAATAAACGTACCAATAAGGAAAAAGGCTACTCCATAGAAACAAAAGCTATTTTCAGAATATTTCATACCACTTCTACTGTAGTAGAGCAGAATTGAAATACATTAAAGAGTTTTCTAAAACAGTGCCATAAACTCATAAATGTTATATATTCACTGAACACATACTGACACCTACTGGTCATCTATTAGCATTTTCAACAGTTCTACCAACAGTTATCTCAGCTAGGTAGCAATACAAAAGGCACCAAAAAGCAAAAGAAAACACTGATCAGAGCTTACATTGCAGAATTTTGTTTCTGCAGTTCTGAGGATAAAACATTTTAGAATTAAGAAATGTATTTTTTGAAGGAGGAATTTAACAGAATGGATAGATCCAGATCTAAGAGTTTGGTTTATCTTGATCTCAGGAACAAAATTGAGGAGCAGAGGTAAAACTTTGTGGCCCACCCATAACTGTGGGGCACACAACCTAGAACAACTCATTAGCTCACGGCCTTCCCACCCCCTCTTAATAGATCTCTTGCCTGTCTCCCTCATTTTTGTCACTCACTCATCATAACCTGCTCCACTCCAGCTTCCAAAACCATCTCCTATTCTCACCTCCATACTTAAGTCCCAATCATTCTCTGCCTAAAAAGCCTAGGCTTACCTTGATCTGGTATCCAGGAAGCTCGTGGACACAGTAATGTCCATTACTGAGATCCACCACTGCCAGGACTCCTCAGCAGTTGACCGTAAAATCGGTTTGCAGTTCTTAAGGCTGAGGTGAAACTTACCTTTTTAAGGCTGTCCCCAAAGTATTATCACGGTGTGCCCTTTTTATCAGAGAGTCAGGAGAACAGTGAACATTACGCTAATATGCTTGTCCCCATCCACAACTCAGGCCAATTCTTAGTCAAGATCAGTCTTTTAAGTCGTGTTATTCAGAACAGTTAAAAATATAATCATACATTTCTTCATGATAGCGACAGGCTATCACCGATTAAAGGTACAGCTTGGAAACTTTAACTTACTTTTACAAAAGTAGGAAATAGGTATACCACAGCATTCTACAACATTCAAAGCCACCAGCTAATCATCTGACAAAGAAATCCATCATCACATTTAAAAATACATATGTAGGCTCTTTGTTTGCAGTGATAAAGTGCGTACTTCCTCCACACTATTAAGACACCTAAGTCCTAAAAACTGATGCTGATGGAATCAAGGCTTTCATAGCCACAAGTACACAGAGAAGGCTTAACCAGCTAAAACTGCTTAGCTGACCAGCACAGAGCACTCTGTGTTGCATGTCCATCTATGGACCACCGTCTGTTAAGCATTGGCTTGCAGTGTTTCTGAAGCTCGGTGAGCAGGATGCCAGGTCCCAGTGCCAGGATCCACTCTTAAGCCAGCCTCCTCACAGTACTGCTAATTGATCTGGTTCAAATCTTGGACCATGGAATCTGCCACAGAGGAGTGACTTGGCTTCTAACTGCTTTGTGCATCATGGTATGATTGAGACCCCAAACAGACCCCCTTAGTTTCCCTCCCCCACGAGACAGTCAGTTTGCTCTTGAAAAAGAGATAACACTGATAAATGACTCAACCAATAATAAAGTGCTGGCAATGCCCTCATATGTGAATGACCAACACACACACCTTTTGCTGCCAGCTTAATTATAAAAACATCACTAAACATAAACTTTAATTGCTTGCAGGATTTTCGTGGTCAGTGCTTTCTTCACACTGTGGCAGCCAGCAAATCCTGGAAGGCAAAGCCAAGGGAAATATAAAAATGTAAAAGAAAATATTAGTTCTAGATCTAGAAATTGTACAATGAAGTGATAGTCCTTCCAGACAAGTTGAAGTTTTGAATTCCAGCAAAACATGGATATAAATTCTTGTGTCCAGTTTAAAGTATAACTTAAAATTATGTAGCATGAAATTGATTTGGTTTAAAAACAGCCATTGGGGAGGTGGTAGCTGACATATCATCAACTGAAGAGAAAGACAAAGAGACAGTCAAGAGAACAGTTAATCAAGAAAGCTTGCATTTTTGATTGTAAAATAGATTTCTTAAAAAAATGAATGATGGTGTTGGCACATGTATTTTTTCTGTTCCTTGTCCATCTAAAAGAAATTATTGAACATCATCCAAGAAGTTTTTAAAAAAAGTTTACATTTCCCCAAACATTTGGCTTCCAAGATTTTCTGGCTGCCACCTTCCTCTTGGTTTTTTTTTGCATACGAGCAGAGCTCGGAACATTTCGGCTCTCTTTGTTTTTTCAGGTGATGCTCATGAAATGCAAAAAGGACTCTTCATAAGTTTGAAATTCCTTACATAAAACTACAACTGCTTCTTCAACATTAATGTTCTAAGCCAGTCAGTGAAATTAAAGCTCAAGACCAAAAGAAAAATCATACAAATGACCAACCTTAATGTTTAGGGTTAACAGTGTGGAGCTGGAGGAACAGCAGGCCAGGTAGCAGAGAAGCAGGAAAGTTGGCGTTTGGGTCGGGACCCTTCTTCAGAAAAAAATTCCTGCTCCTCTGATGCTGCCTGGCCTATGGTGTTCCTCCAGCTCCACACTGTTATCTTTGACTCCAGTATCAGCAGTTCTTACTATCGCTTAACGTTTAGGGTGTTTTCCCTATCTAATCACATGCTGCAGCAACGTAGCAGGGACAAATGGTACAATATACCATGTCTTGCTGCACCAACTTAATATGTATTGTAGAGCTGTGCAGGCCTAGTTATAAATTAAGTACAAATGGAGCAATTTAATAAAATAGTGAAGGTACTATGTTATTGCATCAGTTTATCACATTGTCATCAGCAATGTTTTTAACTACATGGGATCTCAAACCACATTATGATGCTTCCTCATCTCATTTCACCTCACTTCAGCATCTCTCGGCTCAAAAGGTTCAATCAAACTATTTAACTTTTTTTTTTCCTTTTTTTGTTTGTCATTGCTCCAACAGCAGCTTCTAAACCTAAGTTTCAGGAAGAGGTTAGGTGGTTGTTTTTGACTGGTGCAGACTCAATGGGCCGAACAGCTTTTTCTGTGCAATAGAAACGAATCTAAGAATTTCCTGGTGTTAGAAACACACAATCTAAGATGTGTCAATGCAAGAAGCTCTGTGCAATTTACTCATGATTTCGCTGCTAATGCAATATCCAATGCGTCTCATAGGGTAAAGAGTTCTGTATCGTATTCTGGTATTAGCTCTATATTTTTATTTATTTAGTTGTATGGCAGTACAGAACTTGCATAATGCTGAATTTTGTCAAAAATTCTCATCTTGCACTAATAAGGACAAATTACAAGAATACCAATTCAAGGGAAAACCAACATTTATACTGCACGAGGAGATGGCTAATTGGTTGGCAACTGATAGAGATGTTGCCATGGACAATGCGCCCATTAAGGCTGATTGGCAGTTAACCAGACTTCGTGTCTGTTCTAAAATTTAACGTTGATAGACTGGTCAGGGCATTGTTCTAAAATGAACCAGCAAATGATTCAACAAAATGTGTATTATTTTTCAGCAATTTATTCATTAAGAATCATAGTATCAAGAATCATAGAATCCCTAACAGTGTGGAAGCAGGCTATTCAGCCCATTGAGTCCACACCAATCCTCTGAAGAGCATCCTACCCAGACCCTCCTCCTGACCCTAACCCCACAATCACACATTTCCCATGGCTAATCCACTTAACCTACACATTCCTGGACACTATGGGGAATTTAGCATGGCCAATCCACTTAACCTGCACATCTTTGGACTGTGGGAGGAAACTGGAGCACCCAGAGGAAATCCATGCAGACACAGAGAGAGCGTGGAAACTCCACACAGCCGCCTGAGGGTGAAACCGAACCCTGGGGTTCCTGGCGCTGAGGCAGCAGTGCTAACCACCGAGCCATCGTGCTGCCTGTACGAAATTGGTAAAAATTGATGTAAATTGCTGTACAGCGCAGAAAACTGGTGGTTTCAATGAGAGCCAAATTGGCTGCTTTGCGCAAGCAAAAAATAAGTGGTTTAAAAAAAAAAGTGCTGGAAATAATTAGAAGGTCAAGCATCTTTTAGCACAAGAGAAAAAATACTTATGTTTAAAGTAGATTATCTTTTCATCTGAACTGGAAAACAATAATTGGCATGACACGTTTTGAATGATGCACAGAGGCAGAGAAAGAAGGAAGAGGATGAATGACCCAAAATGAATGCCTCGTAATCAGGCAGAAAATGAGTCAAAATAACAAGATAGATGATAGTGACCGGCAAAAGAATATGGTAATGGGACAACTAAAGAAACAAAGGTGGTCTAGAGCTGTAATCAGGCACTGCAGGATAATTATCAACAGTTGCCGTCAGAATAAAAATGGTCAGAGACTGTTGAACTCAATGCTGATTTTGAAGGGCTGGAAAAAAAAAGAAAGAGTCCAATCGAAAGATGAGGCACTGTTCCTCGAGTGTCATTGGAACATCACAGGAGACCAACGAGAGAGAGATCAGAGTGGGAGTAGGGCAGAGAACGGACATAACGAGCAATCAAAAATGCAGGATCACATATACAGGTTGAATGGTCGTCCTGCAAAGTGGCATTTTGTAGTCCTAAAGCAGAAGTGATCACATTATGAGCAGGGCATACAGTTTACTACAGAGAAGCACAAGCCTTTGAGCTTAGACTGGCTTTTAACATCTTCAGATTATAACCACTGCATATTTCAGACAGCAGCTGTTATTAACAACTCTGCCATTCTCATTTACATTTCCTCTAGATCCCCACTTTGCTTTCTTCCCCCTCCCCCTAAATTGTCCCATTACCCTTTCCTTTGGGATTGCACCATTTCTCCACTGTCTACCCTCTTACTGATCCATCCTGCTGTTCTTTCCATCCCGCTGTTCTTTCCCCACTTCTGTACATCAGTTCAAGTTCCAGCTTTTTCCAGTTTTGCTGTAAGATAGTGGCTCTCAAATGTTAACTTTCGTTCTCTCTTGACAGATGTTGCCTGACCTACTAGGTAGTTCCAACGTTTTCTGTCTTCAAAATTTCCCTCAGCAAACAGTGGGAGACCTCATAAAAGGTAACAAAAAGAATGCCTGATTATCACATCCTACCATGGGATATGGAAAAGACCAATGAAATCAATTTACTGACCAAATAATAGTGATTTCACCAAGTCAGGAATTCAGAGTCAGCACAACTCGGCTCTCTAGCTGCGCAGGGAAGGCTGCCAAACACATGAACAGAACCAGAAACAGAGTTAATGTTTCAAATCCAATATGTCTCTTCTTCAGGATTCTGAAGGAGTCATATCAGACCAAAAACGGTAATTCTGTTTCTCTCTCCACAGATGTTGTCAGATCTGCTGAGTTTGTTTCAGATTTCCAGTATCTACAATACTTTATTTTATTTTACTAAAATTCAGCCTAAGGACTAGAGCTTTTAACATTATACCCCATTTATACAAAAAAATTTCATAACAGAGATGAGATGAGGGACTTAGGGAGCCATATCTACTGCCAGCCATCTACATGTATTCTTAGTGCTTAAACACTGTCCATCTTCCTTTGTGAATGGCTCCTCATCTGATGCAGAAACATATATATGAACACAGAGATAAATGGGTGCAAGTAACACTCAGCACTAAACTATGGTACAGCACGACATAGGCAATTTTTATCTTAATGCAAGCAGTAACAGTATTCGTTTTTAAATTAATGCAAAGCCATCACCACAGAATACCAATGTGACTCTATCCAAAAGAAATATCGGATGTCCCAGAACTGTTCTAATGCACTGGGTTTCGAGTTGCAAAGAGCACCAAATCATCCAACGTTTTCTTTTCACAATTCAGCCCGTTTGTTACTACAAACAAAACATAAAATGAGCTTTAATTTGCCAGAGAAGATGCTCACTTCACCTTAAAAATGCAGGAAGGCTGGCTTATTTTCTGCTGAACATTGGGACACTGCTGCCAATTTTAGTGCCTGGCTGACTTAGCTCCCTCAGTTCTGATTGGCATTCAAATCTGGACCTGCTGGTCTGTATGGTTCTGCTACACTCTGCCATGGCTAATGAAATCATTAAGAGAATGCATAACTTCAATACCAGCTATTTGGAGTCCTGACTCCAAAAGTGTGTCCCTTCAAATATGGAGCATAATTTTTTCACAATTATTTTCTTAAAAAAGTCTTTCAGAGCATCTGTTCAGGCAATGTTAATCATGTTATCCAATGCATAAAGGTTTTAAATTAATCAAGGTCAAACAATATAGATGTACCTCACTGAAAAGGCTGCCATTCACATAGGATATCCAAAGTTTCCAGAAATTTGGCAGTTGGCTTATAACAATTTCTGTCAGATTGTCAACAAAGGTGACAGGCTGAGGGGCTTTAAAACGCCAAGCTACAAGAAAAAAAACTTGAATTTATAAATTGCTTATTTGCATACATGTAGTTTAACAATAACTACTTTTTAAAGACACAACGTTAAACCAATAATCTTCCTTCCTGTCATTAGATTATGTCCAGAATACACGGTTGACACTTCATAATATTTATTCCCTCATAACATATTCATTAGAAATAAAATTGAAAATCTCAATTACCCTGCTCAGTCAGGAAGGCAGGTTAATCTAATCAGTGGTATTCTAACCCAGGCACATCCCCTTATTCTACTTCAATTATGCAGTTGGATTCAAAAAAAAGGATAAAATATCCCTTTTTGATGGAAACAATTTTCATTGTGAAAATCAATGTTACTCTTGTCATGCATCCTGTATTGCAGAAATTATAAATTGGTATACATGCTTTTGGTACACATGATTTCTACATTGTTATACAAAATTTGCTTAATTACTGTTCAAATTCACAACTTCAACAAAGAGTGAGTTTACGTCAAGCAAACCAGTAACTGTAGTAAAGTTTGACAGGATATTTGAATTCGGGCCTTATTAGCGTCTTACTTTACAACTCAATGATTTTTAAATGAAGAATTTAAACAATGGTAAGTGCTTTCCTCATTGAAGTGCTAAATATTTGACTGGATATTCAATGATCCGAGACAGATTGCATTATTAGGTTAGAAATTATCATATTTATCACTTGTAGCACATCAGATTGAACAGTAATTAGAAAAATGTCACTTGGCTTCAAAATTGGAAAACACTTTTCACTTCACCTGAATGTAGCAACTTTGCATTATTTCCATATGTCTCTAATGCTAGCATAGCATGTTTCTGGCCACTTTAAATTCTCTTATGCTGGATGCCAGGCGATACATACAAGTGATATGTGGAGACTCCAAACTAATTTTGTTTCCTCTCTTGGGAGAACCTGCTTCCCCTTTTTGCTTCTGTACTGCAACCAGGTTGAAATCAATAAAGTTTGGGGGGTTTAAAATGAACCAAACTGTGTCTTCAGAGACTGGAGCTTGAACATGCTATTTTGTTATCAAACAAGTTCTTTGCACATTTTAATGGGGGTAAGACTTTTTAAAAAAATAATATTCAGTGTGTCAAAAAATTTTATGTAGAATGGAGGCTTTTCCTAATGCACAGCAGGTATTTTAGACGGCATGAAGATCAGGAAGAAGATATCACAACTAACAGTTGCATGGTCCTTTTTTATCAGGTCTAAAACAAGTAGATTCCCAAAAAATAATTCACTAAAATTGTTCTAAAGGACTGAAATAAATTTCACAACAACTTTGTATTTTTTTCATAACTATTATAGTTAATTAAAGTTCAGAACAGTTATTTGCAATATTGAATTCATTTTCTGGGCAATTAGTTTTCAAATCTACCAGACACTTTACTGTTGCCCAAATAACCTTTTTATTTGTGGCATGGTCCTAAAGGAAGAGACATGTAGAAATGACAGAAAAAGAGAACAGAGGCAGAACCAAAAGGCTGTTGCAAAAGTGGTCATGACCATCACACATTTGCAAAGGGCTCACCCTACAAATTGTAATATTGAAAAAAATCCTGTTATAGAAATAACAGTGAAGACATTTTTCCACTGCCTTAAGTTAGGAAAAAGAACAAATATTATCTAATAAACAGGGAGTTAGGTTGGACGCTGAAGTCCAGGACAAACAGGGTAGTTATCTCTGGATTACTACCAGTGCCACGTGATAACGAAGTAAGAAATAGGGAGAGAGTGAAGCTAAACATGTGGCTACAGGGCTGGTGTAGGAGGGAGGGCTTCCATTATGTGGATAACTGGAGCACATTCTGGGGAAGATGGGACCTGTACAGTAAGGACGGGTTGCACCTGAACCGGAACGGCACAAATATCCTGGGAGGGAGGTTTGCTAGAGCTGTACGGGATGGTTTAAACTAGTTTCGCAGGGGGTGGGGAACCAGATTTATAATTCAGAGGATGAGGTATTCGGCATTCCAACAGACACAACAGGGAGTGAGGTGGTTTATAAAGAAATGCAGTCGATGGAGCGTAATTGCGGACACCAAGATGGTTGGAGGTTTGTATATTTCAATGCTAGAAGTATCAGAAATAAAGCGGATGAACTTAGAGCATGGGTCGGTACTTGGAACTACGATGTTGTGGCCATTACAGAAACTTGGGTAACTCAGGGACAGGAATGGTTGTTGGAAGTTCCAGGATTTAGATGCTTTAAAAGAAATAGGGAGGGTGGAAAAAAAGGTGGGAGAGTGGCATTGCTAGTCAGGGCGAGTACAGCAGCTACTGAAAGGCAGTTCGAGCATGATACGTCTACAGAGTCAGTTTGGGTTGAGGTTAGGAGCAGTCACTTTGTTGGGGTTTTTTTTTATTTTTTAAACAGACCCCCTAATAGTTGCAGAGAAGTAGAGGAGCGGATTGGGAGACAGATACTGGAAAGGTGCAGAAGTCACAGGGTTGTAGTCATGGGTGACTTCAACTTTCCAAATATTGATTGGAAACATTTTAGTTGTAATAGTTTGGATGGAGCAGGTTTTGTCCAGTGCGTTCAGGAAGGATTCCTGACACAGTATGTAGATAGACCAACACGAGGAGAGGCCACTTTGGATTTGGTGCTTGGCAATGAACCGGGCCAAGTGTTAGACCTGTTGGTAGGAGAGCATTTTGGCGGTAGCGATCATAACTCTGTCTCTTTCACGATAGTCATGGATAAGGATAGGTACATACGGCAGGGTAAATTTTATAGTTGGGGAAAGGGTAATTACAATTCAGTTAGGCAAGAACTGGGTAACAAATTGGGAACAGATGCTGTCAGGGAAGAGCACCACAGAAATGTGGAGATTGTTTAAGGAATGCATACTGCGTGTACTCGATAGGTTTGTCCCTAGCAGGCAGGGAAGATGCGGTCGAGTGAGGGAGCCATGGTTCTCGAGAGAGGTCGAACGACTGGTTAAGAGGAAGGAGGAGGCTTATGTAAGGTTTAGGAAAAGAGGAACGGAAAAGGCTCGAGAGGGATACAAGATAGCCAGGAAGGAGCTGAAGAAAGGGCTTAGGAGAGCTACAAGGGGTCATGAGAAAACCTTGGCGGATAGGATCAAGGAAAACTCCAAGGCTTTTTACACATGTGCAGAACAAGAGAATGACCAGAGAAAGGGTAGGGCCGATCAAGGATCGTAAAGGGAATTTGTGCACAGAGCCTAAAGAGATAGGAGAGGTCCTTAACGAATACTTTTCTTCAGTATTCACAACTGAGAGGGACCTAGTTGTAGAGGAGGGTGTTGTGAAACAGGCAGGTAGGCTAGGAGGAGGTTGATGTTAGTAAAGAAGATGTGCTAGGAATTCTGAGAAAGTTGAAGATAGATAAGTCCCCTGGGCCTGATGGGATTTATCCAAGGATTCTATGGGAAGTGAGGGACAAGATCGCAGGGCCTTTGGCAATGATCTTTTCGTCCTCACTGTCCATGGGTATAGTGCCGGAAGATTGGAAAGAGGCAAACGTCATTCCCTTGTTCAAAAAAGGGAATAGGGATAACCCCGGAAATTACAGGCCAGTTAGTCTTACGTCAGTGGTGGGCAAATTATTGGAAAGGGCTCTGAATGACAGGATTTATGATCACTTGGAAAGGCACAGTTTGATTCGTGATAGTCTGCATGGATTTGTGAGGGGTAGATCATGCCTCACAAACCTTACTGAATTCCTTGAAGAGGTGACCAAACACGTGGATGAAGGTAGAGCAGTGGATGTGGTATACATGGATTTAAGTAAGGCGTTTGATAAGGTTCCCCATGGTAGGCTCATGCAGAAGGTAAGGAGGCATGGGATAGGGGGAAATGTGACAGATTGGATTCAGAAATGGCTGACCCTTAGAAGCCAAAGGGTGGTAGTGGACGGAAAATATTCAACATGGTGCTCAGCTACGAGTCGTGTACCACAAGGATCTGTTCTGGGTCCTCTTCTATTTGTGATTTTTGTAAATGATTTGGATGAAGGAGTGGAAGGATGGATTAGGAAGTTCACGGACGATACGAAGGTGGGTCGCGTTGTGGACAGTGCGGAGGGCTGTTCTAGGTTACAAAGGGACATTGATAGAATGCAGAGCTGCGCTGAGAGGTGGCAGATGGAGTTTAACCCTGAAAATTGTGAGGTGATTCATTTTGGAAGGACAAACTTGAAAGCAGAATACAGGGTTAACGGAAAGATTCCTGGCAGTGTGGAGGAGCAGAGGGATCTTGGGGTTCATGTTCACAGTTCCCTGAGAGCTGCCACCCAGGTGGATAGAGTTGTTAAGAAGGCGTATGGTGTGTTGGCTTTCATTAATAGAGGGATTGAGTTCAAGAGCTGTGAAGTTATGCTCCAGCTGGTTCAAAAGCCTGGTTTGGCCACATCTGGAGTATTGTGTCCAGCTCTGGTCACCTCATTACAGGAAAGATGTGGAAGCGTTAGAAAAGGTGCAGAGGAGATTTATCAGGATGTTGCCTGGAATGGAGGGAAGGTCTTACGAGGAAAAGGTTGAGCGCGCTACGGCTTTTCCCTTTAGAACAACGAAGGATGAGAGGTGACTTGATAGAGGTGTAGAAAATGATCAGAGGTATAGATAGAGTAGACAGCCAGAGACTTTTTCCTCGGGTGGAGGTAGCTTTTACGAGGGGACATAGTTTTAAAGTGAAAGGAGGTAGATATCAGGTAGGTTCTTTACTCAGAGAGTGGTGGGGCGTTGAATGCATTGCCGGAGAGGGTGGTGGAGTCAACCTCATTAGGGGCATTGAAGCGGCTACTAGAAAGGCATATGGATGATAGGATAAGGTAGCGGTGGAGTTTAGATAGACCTTAGGTTTAGGGTAAAAGTTCGGCAAAACATCGTGGGCCAAAGGGCCTGTTCTGTTCTCTGTTCTAAATAATGGTTCATTCTCAATTCATTTGACATCTCAACATAGTTCGAAATCCAGATCAGTTGCCCTACTAATAGAGTTTATACAAAGCAATCTACAGAGGAAAGAGAGAGTTTTCACAACACAGGTACTTAAATGGGATCCCTGAATGAACACGTATGATATGTATAAATCTGCTTGGCACAGCTTACAGTCATCCCGAGAAGACTGGAAACTGCTGGCCCTTTTCACTGAACCAGTTTGAGTTAAGCGACTGATTGGAGAAGGTCGCACGTCACTGTCCAAATCCAACATTGGGCCAAGGAGCATGGTTGAACCTATGAAAACAAACAGAATAGTCAGTTTGGCACCATTTTACATAGTATTCGAGTTTAATTTGAGTGATCCATACAGTAGAGGTCTCACAACTGTGAAATATGAAGCCTGCACAGTATTCACTCATGTGTCAAGTACAGCTGTCAGACAGTAGACTTTAAATTATTCAGAGATGACAGCTTATCATTTGAAAATAGCTTCCAAGATAGCTCAAATGCTGTTATTCAATTACAATTTTAAAACATATACTGTGGCCTTTTGAAAAGAAAACACAAAAGGTACCAAATGAAATGTAGAAGACTTTCCAAAGCATTTCTAAAGAAAACAATTAATATTGTCCTTCTATCCATAGATTCCAGCAAGAAGAAAGGAAAGCTTAACGATTGCTGTTTTGTACAAGTCTCATTAATACATAATAAAGAAATCTTGCTTCCAAAATCTGACACAACAAAAAAACACTTTAGGCCCTTTACCAAGACTAAAATAGGTCACCTCTTAACGAAGGACGATACAAAATAAGGAGAATCATACAGCGATGACAGTTTCCTTACTGAAATACATGCCCCACAAAAATGTTAATATTTGCTAAATGAGGCAATTTCATCTAATGTACAAAAGATCTTCAGTTTAAAATAACAATGTTAATTAAATTTATTTTAAAATCAAAAGACAAATAATGCTCTTCTAATTAACATAGTGTAATATAGGTGTCAACCAAATGGAAAGCACACCTTTCTCACTGACCTTGCCGAGCAATTTACTGCAGCGTTATTACTGACGAGATCACGGAGTTTTGCAAATAAATTGACATGTAAGTTTTCACAAACAAACAATTTGCAATTCAGAAAATTCGTAGTGGAGTTTCAATGCAAGCCTGTATTTGGGGTTTGCCCACGTAAACGAGTGATAATCTGTGAACAACGTTATCACACAAACCCCTTTTCCATCTTTCTTGTTACAAATTGCACTTCACCTCCAACAAATTACCCACAGATGTGGAGATAATCCACAGAACAGCCAGGAAACTGATCAATCTTCATCACATTCAATCCAAAAAGTCACCGCAACCTCAATCATTGAACTCCAGTACGAATCAAAAAAAGCATGCATTCACATGAGTAATAGGGAAGGCAAATATAATGTGGTTTTTTTTCAAAGGGGTTCAAGTATAAAGATAGGGAAGTCTTGCTAAATCCACACAAGGCATTAGTCAGACCACACTATGACGATAGAGTATGTCTTTAAAAGGGACTAGTCTGCCCTGGTTCTCTTGAAGGGTGGTGTTGTATACCTGGTGTCAAGGTGCCTGTTCCAAGGAAAGCAGAGTAAATTACCTTGTTTTTTCTTAAATTAGACAAAAGCAGCATGTGGGGGGGGGGGGGGGGGGGGGGGGGGGGAGGAAGGTGCGAGTCAGGCTCCCACAGACCCAGAGTTTTCGTTTTGTTTTCTGCTCAAGTTGAAGCTGCTGGATATAGTTCTCTCTACTGTAGCTAAAAACTTGAGTTCTTTCTCTGCTCCAAGTGTGAGAAGACAGCACATGAGATTGAAATGGTTTTGCTAAATTGCCATGTCAAGGGTGTGATTAAGGGATGCTGCTATATTGGAACAGTTAATAATTATATTACTTTATGAAGTCTTTTTAAGAGTTAAAGTTATGCCAATTCGTTATTTGTATTTAACTGTAATATAAGAAGATAGTGTGTTTTGCTTAAAGCCTAGTAGTGTCATCAATCAAATCGCAACTGGAGCACAGTGTCTTACATTTGCCTTTAAGGAAGGTAAAAGTGGGCTATCTTCTTGATATATCTGATGGGGTTTGGTGTGGTCTGTAGCAACCCCTAGAATACTTGAACAATCCTCACTATTGGAAGAGTATGACTTCAATGGAGAGTGCACAGAGGAGATTCACCAGGATGCTGCCCGGGATAAAACATCTCAATTATGAGGAGAGACTGGATAGGCTGGGTTTATTTTCCTTAGAGCAGAGGTGTCAAGACGGGGTAATCTGACTGAGGTACACAAAATAATGCCAGTATAGCCAGAGTAGATCATGAGAATTTCTTCTCCATGGTGGAAAGGCTAAGACCAGAAGGCATAAACTTAAGGTGATGAACAAGTGGTCTAGTCGAGGTCTGAAAAAGACATTTTTTCACCCAGACAGTTGGAGAAATATGGACCATGCTGCCCGAGGGGGTGGTGGAGGCAGATACGCTCATAACATTTAAGAAGTTTCTAGATGAGAACTTAAAATGTTAGCGCATAGGCGGCTATAGATCAAGTGGATGTAAATGGGATTAATGTAGTTTGTTATTTGTTGGCCAGCATTGACATGGTGGGCCAAGGGGTCATTTTCTAATCTGTATGACTCTATGACCCCCTAGTTTTGTTCCCCTTATCTAAGGATGGCATACTGGTACTGCAGGCAGTCCAGGGAACATTCACTAGGTTAATGTTGGGGTATGGAGGGATCGCCTTTTACGTAGAAGTTGACAAGGTTGGGTTTGTACTCATTGGAGTTTCGAAGAATGAGAGGTGATCTTATTGAAGCACATGAGATTCTAAGAGAGCTTGACATGGTAAATGTGAAGAGGTTGTTTCCTCTTGTGGGAGAGTTTAGAAGCAGAGGACAATGTCTCAGAGTAAGGGGTTTTCCATTTGTGAGAGACGAGGAGGAATTTCTTCTCTTAGAGGGTAGTGAATCTGTGGAATTCTCAATTAGAGGGCCAGCAATTCTGGATCATTAAGTATATTCAGGGCTGACACAGACAGATTTTTAATTAGTAAGGGAATCAAGGCTTATGGGGAAGAGGCAGGAAAGTGGAGATTTGAGGATTACCAGCTGTGCTCTCATTGAATGGCGGAACTGACTCAATGGGCGGAATGCCTACTTCTGCTCCTACCTTTTAGGGTCTTATGTCACTTGTGTGTGCACTCATTCAGAGCTTCAAGTCATGGCTGACTCCTTCTCTGAAGTAGATGGGAAAATATGCCTTTCATTACATAATTGGAAAGCAAAGGCCCCCTCCTAACCGGCTCTCTCAGCATGACACCTCCTTTCATTGATTAAGTTTAGTAATGATAAACTAGAAAAAGGTGGAAAAGGAGATATGATATCTTTTCATGTCTCTTTTCATGGATAAGGCATCTTAGCAAAGGCAGACATGGGGGAGGCAAAAGGAAATTCATCAATATCTCCAATGTGCCAGTTCAGTCTTCAGTAAAGTGAGGGAAATAGTATTTGAGGACCATGGTCTCAAACCTAAGATGAAGGTCACGATTTACCAGACAGCAGTAATTCTCCACTTTCAGGTAGGCTTTAGAAACTTAACTATTTACAGATGGAACTACAAACACTGGAGTAACATCTGAGGTGTCTCCATAAGATCATCAAAAACCAGTGGTAAGAAAAGCAATCCAGCAGTGTTTGATCCCTGGTCAACATGCCCAGATAATCACCCAAAATAATTTCTGCCGTTCAGGGCATGCTATTTGAATGCTTGACACCAGAACTTAGTTGTGACTGGAAACTCCCCGGAGGGCTGTAGAAATTTTAGGTAAGTTCTTAGAGTCCTTGAAGAGATCAAACATCTTTACTACCTCATGAGAGACCAATGTCCGTGACTGGCCAAAATGGAAAAAGATTCATTTGAAAAGACACCCAACCTGGTGCATCCAGATGAGAGTAGAGACATTGGAGAAAATGCACTAACTTCCAGGCAACTCATCTACGCAACCCCTGAAGCACTACTGAAACATCTGCCATCACAGAACTATCGACCCAGTGTAAAAGTAAGTCATCCTCGACCTCAAGTGACTGCCAAAGGGAATGGTGGATTCTCAATGCATGCATTTAGGGTTTCTCAAATGCAAGTTAGAAGGATGTAAATGAGTCAGATTTCCTGATTCAATTACTGTTGTGATTTCAGTCAGATTACCAATAGGGTACTGGGGCTTTCGTGGCACTGTGGTGATGCATCTGAGCCAGAAGGCTTGGGTTCAAATCCCACTGCTTCAAAATTATATCATAATATATCTGAACAGCTGGATTAAAAAAAATCTACTAACAGGATAACTGAATTGACAGACAAAAACAGAAAATTCTCAAAGCTTAGCAGGTCTGGCAGCATCTGTGGAGAGAAAACAGAGTTAACATTTCAGGTCCGGTGATCATTCTTCAGAACTGATGGAAGCTAGGAAAGATTCGTATTTGTGCAGAAGATGGGATGGGGGGCCAGGAGGAGGAGTAAACAACAGGTGAAGATAGAGCCCAAAGAGAGAGAAAAACAGATGGTCAAAGACGTAGGTAAAGGTCAGCTTCAGGACTATTACTGGCTGACAATGGGTTGCGTGTGGTAGCAGTCCATGTGATGACAAGGCCTGGTGTGTGGGAGTTAGGGTAAGGACATTGGAGAAGGTACTCAAGCCCTAAAATTGTTGAACTCAATATTGAGTCCAGATGGTTGCAGAGTTCCCAAGTGGAATATGAGGTGTGGTTCTTTCAGCTTACGCTAAGCTTCGCTGCAGCAAGCCTGAGACAGAGATGTTGGCCCAGGGACATAATGGTGTGTTAAGTGGTAGGCAACAGGAAGATAAGGGTTATTTTTGTGGACAGAATGTAGGTGCTCTGCAAAGCGGTCACTAAGTCTGCATATAATTTCCCCAATGTAGATGAGGCCACATTGTTAGCAACGAATACAGTAGACTAGATTTCATGAATTGCACACAAAGTGCCGTTTCGCCTGGAAGATGTGTTTGGGGCCTTGGAATGTGAGGAAGTAGGAAAAAAAACAGGCAGGTGTCACACCTTCTATGGTTGCAGGGGAAGGAGCCGTGGGGCTGTGGGGACGTGTTGGCAGGAGGAATGGACCATGGTGAGCCAGAGGGAATGATCCCTGTGGAAGGCTGACAAGGGAGGGAGGGGACTGTGTGTCTGAGAGAAAACAAGAGTTTTGAAGGTTGGAATAAAATCAGTCAAAATCTACTTGCTATCAAGAGGATTACC